TAAATGGTTCAATAGATTCTTAAAAAATTATGATTTAATTCCTAAATACTTACGTAAATTGGGAGCAGTTTATGGTGTAGTGACGAATAGAGCGAAAAATATGACCCACGCTTATACAATTGCTGGGGAAGCACTTCGGCATTCTTGTGACAACCATACTTCTCCAGTACAAAACTATGTCGTGATAAATTATCGCAGGAGGGATCAAGATCCAGATCAAGCAAGACCGTTTCAAATCTACGATATAGATTAATAAATTAGTAATTAAACAAATCAATCTTTATTGTGTATTATTTCATTATACATATTCCCAACAATACCCTCCAGCTTGAGATCTAATATCTTGACATACTGCCATAATGTTTTGACTTTTAATTCCAGTTGCACGCTCTGCCTCTTTTAATGAAAGAAATTCTTGAGTAAATGCATTATCAGAAATTTGCTTAACTGCACGTTTATAACCATTCCAAAGTCTGAGACGTACAGCATGTTGTATATTTTCTTTTTGTGTACACCATTCAAGATTCGAAGTTTTATTATTAGTAGGATTTCCATCTATATGATTTACATAATTTTTACCTTGTTCTTTCAGACAAAAAGCTACTGTTACTAAACGATGAACTTGATAATTTAGATGTTTTCTATCAACCCGAAAATATCCAGCACTTAATGATCCTTGTGTGATCATATCATTTAATAACTTGACTCTTCCTAAAGAGGATACTTGAAATTTCTGCGAATTAAATTCTATTTCTCTCCATTCTTCATTAGGATCAGATTGTATATAATCATCATAATACATCCAACACCACCCACCAACAAAATTCCGCTTTCCTCTACAACATGTGGCAATATTTCTACTACTAATATTAAGTATAATACCTGCGAGTTTTGCCGAATCCCAAATCTGAATAATATCTTCATTTAATATTTTTTGCACAACTTTTCGAGATCTTCCACGACTAGCAGGATTGGGAAATATTTTGCGATTGGCATTCTCTTTGAGAGTCACCCACTCTAAATTATCTACTCAATTATCAGTCTTAATTCCATTAATATGATTAACAAAAGATCATTTTTCTGGATTAGGAATAAATGTTTGCACAACTAGTCTATGGGTATAAGGTTTGGTACTAACTTCGTTGATATTAATATTTGATCGTATATAACCATGTCCTTTCAAAACACTTCCTTCTGAAATTCTACCATTTTTATTTTTGACATGTCCAAGATTAGAAATAAAGTAATCCGAATTTGCTATAGGTAACCAAACCTCCATTTTAATGTTTACTGTATCCCATTATTTTATTTTCAAATTCAGATTACGCTTCATGAAATCATTACCTATATCGGAAAAAAAGGACAGACTCCAGAGCAAGCAAGACCATTTCATATCTATGATCAAGATTAATTGCATCTCTTTGCTTCTAGAAATTGTATACGTATTTCATTCTCATTGACACTAGAATATTCAGAGCCCGATTCAGTTGAGGATGAAGATGAAGAATCACTAAGAATGATCTTTTTTCTGGCTAACTTACATCATTGTTTAGAAATATTTGGGTTTGTTATTGAGTTTATAATATCCTGCTGAATCTCGGGTTTCACTATCTCCAGTAATCGGCGAAGAGAAATCCAGATTTTTTTACCTGATATTTGTTTAATCATATGGGATATGGCTTTATCAGCTTCAGTCATTGTAAATGTTAAATTATTTTATTAATACTAATTTAAAAGTGTGCCAAAAATTAATTATCTAAACTTAGTTATTTTTCTGGCAAAAGATATAGTATATAATATAATTATTTTACCAATGTTCATAAAAACACTCGTAGAAGGAAAAATCCCAGTTAAAGCATTAATCGATACAACATATAAATCAAATACCATTAGCAAGAGCTTGTTTGATAAGCTTGAAGAAGATTATGGAATACGTGATTTTGATGAGAATCTCTATGGGGGTGTAGTAGCTGTCCCTGTTGAGAATCTCTATGTAGATGTAATAGGTGAAATAAAATGCTTAGATTTGCAGTTTCAATATAAAGGAAAGTGGCGGAGTTTAGATGGCACTGAAGTAATAGACTTCCAAATTCGCAAAAATTCATCGTTCGATCTAGTGTTAGGACAAGATTGGTTATGGATGCATGAAGCAAAAATAAGCTTTGGATTTTCTTCTGAAACATGTAGTCACCATGCTAAAATTGTAATAGATGGTATGAGTATTCCATTAATCGAAGAAAATACCAATAAAGCCAGCTCCACGAAAAATAACTCATCTAATTCGATGAAGTCAAAACCTGATCTAACTCTGGATAAACTTGTGGATATGTTCAAGAAATTATCTCTTATAAGCAAAGATAATATGCACTGAAAGAAACGTCATGAAATATCTGAGACAGAGACTAGTTCATCCTGCTCCAATTTGGAATCCACAGGTTCAGAGTGATATGATCTCGATCCAATAAAATCCTGAAAGAATCGTGTTCATATTAAAAAGAAAAAAGTTGTCTCTCCTATTCGAAAACATCATAAAAATAAGCCAATTAGAACGAAGTAATCATTAAACCAGAAAATTATCATGAGTGGGATCGACATAGAAGTTCATGTAACATACGTAATTGCCTACTGTATCAAATAAATAATCATCATCCGAGGTGTGTAAGAGATCTCTGGATCTAGCTATGTCTGGCTAAAAATTTGTATGAATTGAATATGGATTTCTTCCCATTCTTTCATCAGATTGTCTAGCCATGCAGTACTTAAACCGCTTTTTAGTAAACCACAACGTAATAACTCTTCACCGACCATCCTATTCCGATTTGTTAAAAATTTATGATATTTTCTTGTATCTTCGTTCCTTTTTATTCCTCCACGATAAAGACGTATATCTCTTTCCAAGTCAGCAGGAAAACATCCCACGGCCCACCTATTTTTCTCAGCTTCAGTAATGATCGAAAATTTCTCAGGATCCATTTTATGTTCGATGGCATATTGGCATAAGCCAGCCTCTGGCTGATAAAGGTGGGTTTTGTTTGGATGAATTGGTGAGTTACTGATTTTGTTTGATACCCTTACTTGAGTTTCCGGCAAACTCTGTATGGCA